TAAATAAATAAATAAATAAATAAAAGTTTTGTTTTGGTATGCATGCTCTGGGCCACCATGCAAAATATAACCTTTTTTTTTTTTTTTTTTTAATCACCCAGGTTGAGGTGCAGTGGCATGATCATAGCTCACTGCAGCCTCTACTCCTGGACTTAAGGGATCCCCCTGCTGTGGCCTCCCAGGTAGCTGGGGCTACAGGCGTGACCCACCACAGCTGACCACACCACACCACACATTAAACAAATATCATGTATTTCTTCAGTCAAAACTGCTTGGAGGTTGGGGCAGGAATTGACTTGGAAGGAACACCAAGGAATTTTCTAGGGTGATAGAAATGGCCTATATCATGATGGGTTTGGGTTACATAAGTGTATGAATTTATCAAAATCTGAGGGTACCTTAAGATTTGTGTATTTTATGGTATGTAAATTTATCTAAAAGCCAAATTATCAGCCGGGCGCAGTGGCTCAGGCCTATAATCCCAGCACTTTGGGAGGCCAGGGTCGCAGATCACCAGGTCAGGAGATCAAGACCATCCTGGCTAACAAGGTGAAACCCCGTCTCTACTAAAAATACAAAAAAAAAATGAGCCGGGTGTGGTGGTGGGCACCTGTAGTCCCATCTACTCAGGAGGCTGAAGCAGGAGAATGGGGTGAACCCAGGAGGTGGAGCTTGCAATGAGCCAAGATCAGGCCACTACACTGGGTGACAGAGCGAGACTCCGTCTCAAAAAAAAAAAAGAAGCCAAATTATCAGCAAATACTGAACTCTAGTCAATGATATGCATGCAGAAGTGTTTAGGAATAACAGGTGTCTGACACTTTAAAATGCATCAAATAAGATGGACAGGCTGGGCGCAGTGACTCACGCCTGTAATCCCAGCACTTTGGGAGGCCGAGGTGGGTGGATCATCTGAGGTCAGGAGTTCGAGACCAGCCTGGCCAACATGGTAAAACCCCATCTCTACTAAAAATATAAAAATTAGCTTGGTGTGGTGACGGGGACCTGTAATCCCAGCTAGTCGGGAGGCTGAGGCAGGATAATCGCTTGAACCTGGGAGGCAGAGGTTGCAGTGAGCCAAGATCGCACCATTGCACTCCAGCCTGGACAACAGAGCAAGACTCCATCTCAAACAGTAAAATAAAAAAATAAAAATAAAGATGGACAGAGAGAGAAAGAGATATGTGACAAGCAGGCCAGGCACGGTGGCTCACGCCTGTAATCCCAGCACTTTGGCAGGCCAAGGCAGGTGGATCACCTGAGGTCAGGAGTTCGAGACCAGCCTGACCAACATGGTGAAACCCTGTCTCTACTAAAATTACAAAAATTAGCTGGGCGTGGTGGCAGGCACCTTTAGTCCCAGCTACTTGGGAGGCAGAGGCAGGAGAATCACTTGAACCTGGGAGACAGAGGTGGCAGTGAGCTGAGATCGCACCACTGTACTCAGCCTGGGCAACACAACGAGACTCTGTCTCAAAAAAAAAAAAAAAGCCGGGCATGGTGGCTCATGCCTGCAATCCCAGCACTTTGGGAGGCTGAGGCGGGCAGCTCATGAGGTCAAGAGATTGAGACCATCCTGGCCAACATGGTGAAACCCTGTCTCTACTAAAAATACAAAAATTAGCCAGGCATGGTGGCAGACGCCTGTAATCCCAGCTACTTGGGAGGCTGAGGCAGGAGAATCGCTTGAACCCAGGAGGCGGAGGTTGCAGTGAGCCGATATCGTTCAATTTGGGAGGTGGAGGCAGGTAGATCATCAGAGCTCAGGAGTTCAAGACCAGCCTGACCAACATGGCAAAACCCCATCTCTATTAAAAATACAAAAACTGGCTGGGTGTGGTGGTATGCACCTGTAATCCCAGCTACTCAGGAGGCTGAGGCAGAAGAATCTCTTGAACCTGGGAGGTGGAGGTTGTAGTGAACTGAGATCGCGTCAATGCATTCCAGCCTGGGTGACAGAGCAAGACTCCATCTCAACAACAACAACAAAAAGAACAGTGCAGAACATTAAGATAGAGTCTGAGGGGTAAATGAGATTCACCTTCTCTGGATATTTGAAATTTTTGAAAATAGAATGTCTTGAAAAGCTGTATTTCTCATTGTGGGTTTTGGACAAAAGAGTTTGAAAGACCCTGGGACCAGACAACCTCCACCAGGGCAGTTAGCTCATAAGGCACCTTTGCAAAAAACGGCTTGACAAGTGAAGCCATGTGGATCTCAGCCCCCGCTGCCCCCTTGGCCAGGAACCCTTGTGCATGCCTTAGCTTGCACAGCGCTGTGTGGCAACCTTTTCTCGTGAGTCTCTTCAGCTGTAATATCCCATTCTGTTCTAATCAAGATGGGGATCCTGGCTTTTCTCAAAGAGGGCAGAAAGTGATCTGGAAGTCATAGTGGAACACAAGCCAAATAGAAGTCGGCTACGGATGAAAGAGGGAAAACGTGTAAAATATTAAAGCTATAATGGGAGCATAAATTATAGACACAGCCTTTCCTTAGGACCTACTGCAGTAAGGGGACCTTGTAAATCCTTGGCATCGTAAACTTTCATTGGGTAGGAGGGAGCTGTCACCTCCCCTAGTGACATGGCGGCTCCCCACTCTGTCTCACATTGAGAATAAAGAAACAGCTGGTCTCAGAGAGGCAGCGTTAGCCACACCTAACCACAAGCAACTGCTCCACATCTGGCTGCTGGTGCAACCGTTTGGCCCAGTCCCTGCCTTCCATAGATAAGCTGATGGACAGGATACTGCCGGAGTCCTCCCCAAGGCCTTCAAAATGCCAAGCTGACCCCAGCATTTCATCTCTCCTGCCACCTGCCCAGCCACCAGCCGGAACCACAGGGTCCCAGGAGCCATGCCAGGGACCCAGGTTAGGCCCATGGTCATGGAAGCACCCCACAGACCACCTCAGGACGGGAGCTTCCTTCCTGCTTGGCCACCACCTGGCTGCCTGATTTCAGCACAGCAGCACCTGTCACCACTCACCTCAAGAGGTGGCTCCAGAGCCTCCTGGGAGGGAAGAGGCCGTGGCAGTTGCTGTCATCATGGCCAGCCCTGGGGCTCCAGCCCAGGGCAGAAGCAGGCTCTGGAATGAGTTGGACCCGGAAGCACAGTACACAGGGGGCTGGTAAGAGAGCAGGCACGAATGTAGCTTGGGTCTGGCCCTGTGTGGGGTGAGAGGCCGGGCTGCAGAAGTGTCAGGAGCTGGGAGGCTGAGGGTGGGCCCGGTGTTCACGGCTCCCGACCAGCAGGTGGGAAGCAGGCACCCAGGGCCGTGGGGGCCAGGCCCCGCCTGAGTGCAATGGCCCGTGTCAATTATGGTGGCTCAGGATCCAGCTGTGGCAACTGATCAGTATTTTCAATGTCACCCCTGGAGACTAGGCTGTTCGAGATGACTTCTGCCTTGTAGGGGGTCCTGGGAAAATTGCCTTGTTCACCTGCAGTGATGGAGTTCATTCAGCTGCACATTTGTGCTGTATAGCCCCGCCTCCCAGTCACAGCTGATTGGGTGCGAGGTGCACAGCTAAACCAATCAGATCCTGTCCTGGGACTGGAGCCTCAAGTAGAAATAACCTATTGGCTGCCTCTCATTGTGGTGTGAAGACAGAGCCAGCCAGACACAGCAGCCAGCCCAGATGGCTTTAAAGAGTTTCCAATTTGGTGTCTTGGGAGGCCTGCCAGCCCTCCAGGCTGCCCTAGATTTTAATGAAGTAGCCTATTCCTTCCCACATATTTGCCTCTTTTGCCTGAAGTGCCTCTCAGTGGGTTTCTAGCTCTTCTAACCCAAGGTGCTGTAATTAAAGCATGGTCACAAGGGTTGATCCATATGAGGCTGCATTAGTAGAAATATAGAGTCTAGTGTAAGGGAGGTGAAGGCCCTTTTCTGCTGTGTTCCATCCAGGCTCCACCAGACAGGCCATGTTGGCTTATGGGTGTGGGATGCTAAGAGGACTTAGCCTGCTCACGTGCCTTCAGGAGAGAGAGCCATGATGGCCAAGGCTCTAGAACCACTGTCTGTGGACATTCACCCTGGAGAAACCTGGAGACCAGGGTCTGTGCCTCCATCCATTTGATCAGCTGGTATTCACGAGTGCTCGCCAGGAGCCTGGCCGCTCCGGGTTTCAAGTGATTCTCCCCCCTCAGCCTCCCGAGTAGCTGGGATTACAGGCGCCTGTCACCACCCCCAGCTAATCTTTGTATTTTTAGTAGAGACAGGATTTCACCATGTTGGCCAGGTTGGTCTCAAACTTCTGACTTCAGGTGATCCGCCTACCTCAGCCTCCCAAAGTGCTGGGATTACAGGTGTGAGTCACCACGCTCAGCCAAAATTTATTAATGAGACATTTCACACTATTTTTCTCATCCCTATCATCATTATGTCATCTTCCTCCTCATCACCAGTATCACCATCACCACCTTCAACATTATCATCACCAGGACCACCATCACCACCACCATCACCATCATCATCATCATCACCACCTTCACCATCATCACCACCACCATCATTACCACCATCATCACCATCACCCTCATCACCACCAACATTATCATCACCACCATCACCATCATCACCAACATTATCATCACCATCATCACCACCATCACCATCATCACCGTCACCCTCATCACCAACATTATCATCACCATCACCACCACCACCATCACCACCAACATCATCACCATCATCACCACCATCACCATCATCGCCATCACCCTCATCATCACCAACATTATCATCACCACCACCATCACCATCATCACCATCACCCTCATTATCACCAACATTATCATCACCACCATCACCATCATCACCAACATAATCATCACCATCATCACCACCATCACCATCACCGTCACCCTCATCACCAACATTATCATCACCATCATCACCACCATCATCACGATCACCATCATCACCATCATCACCACCATCACCATCATCGCCATCACCCTCATCATCACCAACATTATCATCACCACCACCATCACCATCATCACCATCACCCTCATCATCACCAACATTATTATCATCACCATCACCATCACCACCATCACCGCCACCATCACCAACATTATCACCATCATCACCACCATCATCATCACCATCACCACCATCACCATCACCACCATCACCATCATCACCACCACCATCGTCACCAACATTATCATCACCATCATCACCACCACCATCACCCTCATCATCACCAACCACTATTTTTCTCATCCCTATCATCATTATGTCATCTTCATCCTCATCACCAGTATCACCATCACCACCTTCAACATTATCATCACAACCATCACCATCATCACCAGGACCACCATTACCACCACCATCACCATCATCACCACCTTCACCACCATCATTACCACCACCATTATCATCATCACCACCTTCACCATCACCACCATCCTCACCATCACCATCACCATCATCACCACCATCATCACCACAATTGTGCCATCTCACCATTACCACAACCCTCACCATCATGACCACCTTCATTATCATCAGCATGACCACCATTATTACTACCATTATCACTACCACCACCACCATCAATGACATAATATCTAAGTATAATCACCAATTCTAAACACCAGTCTTTTAAATCTAGTGTGTATTTTACACTCACAGCACATCTCAGTTTGGAGGAAGCTACATTTTCATGGAATGATATGATCCTTTTTTTTGTTTGTTTTTTCAGACAGAGTTTTGCTTTTGTCACCCAGGCTGGAGCGCAATGGCATGGTCTCAGCTCACTCTCACTGCAACCTCTGCCTCCCAGGTAGGTTCAAGTGATTCTCCTGCCTCAGCCTCCCAAGTAGCTGGGATTACAGCACCCACCACCAGGCCCGGCTAATTTTTGTATTTTTAGTAGAGACGGGGTTTCACCATGTTGGCCAGGCTGGTCATGAACTCTTCACCTCAGGTGATCTGCCCGCCTCAGTCTCTCAAAGTGCTGGGATTACAGGCGTGAGCCACCG